AGGGGGGGGGGGACAAGAAAGAAAAGCAGATAGCGCGAGTGAGCGAGACAGAGAGAGGGAGCGAGGAACAGCGGGCGAGCGAGAAAGAGAGATAGGATACGCGACGTCGAGTGTGTCGTACGCGGCTCTGCTCCGGCTAAAACGTCGTGACTGATTCCCCGCGAGTGAGAACAAATGCGTGCGCGTCGTACGCGGGGCCGTCAGCACTGTGCGTAGTCGTTGTCGCCTCCGTCGTTGCATCGCCGTGCCCTCTCGCCTGGGTCGAAAGCCGCGAGCAGCCGTCATCGCTGCCGCCGTCGTTAAAGCCGCTCGCTTTTACGTGCGACTCGAGCCTCCGTGTCAACTGAGGGACGACGGCCATATTAAACCGCCGCGAGGAGCACGTATCCCGATCACGGCGTGATCTCCCGGAGTGTGTAACCTGTCGTGTGTTGTAACGTGCGTGCGAGAGCGAGCGAACGAGCGAGTTCCTCCTCCCCGCGAGTTTTCGAGGTTTGTTTTTCCTTCCGTGCCGCCTTGCCTCACCACCGTCGCCGGATGACGGCGCGGGTACGTGGTGCGTGCACGGTGCCAGTGTGTACGACGACGAGCGGCGTAGTCGACGAGGAGCGTCCCGTGCCGCCTGATGTCTACGCATCGTCTTCGTCGCACGGAGACAGCTCAGCGGCTCGCCACCACTGTGTCTACCCCTACTCCCGGCAATACCACCCTTCCTAGGCCCTATGGTACCCACGTAGTAAGTACACATTTTTTCCAACTCGCGAGCGAGCGGATGGTTTAACCTCTTTCCTCTCGAGCACGTAGCGATACTGAACGACATTGTTTATCGCACATTTAGCACGCGTCGATGTGATTTTTTGTCCTACGGATATTCTTTTTCATTCGATTGACTTTATTGAGGCTGTGTGATCTCGCCGGTGTTTATACCTGCTCGCGGGCGAAGTAGAATCGTGCGCAGCCGATATCGTAACCTCTCGCCTCGTGCATATCCGTGCGTGTATACATTCGGATACGCGGAGCGTTGATCTTGCTCTACGCAGCGTCCATATTTACCTGTGTTCGTTAGGCTCACACGCTCGCTGGAAAACCAGATTGGTTTGTTCGCCGCATCCTATATACTTTTTCTGGTGAAACTTCCGTGTAAAACAGACGTAATTTGTTTGCATGAGCGTGGAATAACGGATTAAATCTGTTCCTTTTGGCCGCAAACTAGGTTGCACTTTTTGCCCTTGAGAGTGAAGCAGGTGTATAACCTATCGCGGAAGGTAAAAGAAACCAAGCGTAGCATTAGTTCGGCCAAGACGAACAGACCTCCTCGTGTCAGACCTCCTATCGCTGGGTTTGTTCTTCGTAGCTACACTAAATTGCACCGTAACTGCACTTAAAATGAAGTTAAATGATTACATATTTGACACCGGTGGGAAAGAGAAGAAAATGGAAAGACGATGCTTCGGAAAGAGAGCTAAGAAGGACAGAGGCACGTACGCAACGCCGGTTTTTTTTCGTGAGAGAATCGGCGCGCTGCACACGTGTGACGCGAATATGTTAAGGATCTCGCGGAGATGTAACCTTTCGTGCATTCACAGTCCGGTGTGTACATGCATTTAGTAACGTTCGTGCTTGAATAATATTGAGTAGACGTATCGAGATTTCGGGAGCGTACGCAAAGCTATTCCCCTCCACGGCCCGTGTATTCACTCGATGAACGGAATAAGCGTTCGTGCTCGTTCGTGTCGATTATGCACATCGGAGATGACGACTCGCAATCCCTTCTCTCCCGTGTATGTCCACAGATACGCGGAGCTCTTATATTTACCGATGTTGATTAAACATACTGAAAGGTACATGTAACCTCTTCGCTGACACGTGCCGTGCGGAATGTTACGTAACTCGCGCCGGAATAATGTTGATTAGACATATTGAGTTTCGTGTGAGATCTCTTTTGTACATTCGCGAATACGTGCACACGGAATAGCGCACATTTTCGCACTGTTCATCGTTCCTGCTCTTTGTGATCCGTCAGTCGTCCGACTGACGGATCGTTACGCAATTAGATTATTGTGCATACAGTTAGAATACAGGCATTATACCGTAATGCTGTTGTTTGACAGTATCATGAGAATACGTCATCGTTGAACGGGTCATAAGCCGCATTGAAGGTTTATACGTGTGTGTACACGTACGTTTGCGGACAGCCAATAGAAATCGAGACTAATTAATTATCGCTCGTACGCGTCCATTGCGTTAACTGCGATACCAGATCAGCGATCAAACGAATACAATGTAAGAAATAAGACACTTTATGCAATTGAGCTCAATTATACGACCTGATATTCTCGTTTTCTTCTCGTGCTTCTAACTTTTCTAACGTCGGTTCATTTTGTGCGGTATCCTTATTCAGCGACCATCACACGTTTTTAAGTCATTCTGCGAGTCTACACAAAAAAACTAATATCTCATTGAACATTCCAAGTGCGACCGAAGGTCTGCACAGTACGGATAATCTAATTGTTACAACTTATGAGGAGCTCCGTTTGAGCTTATGAGGAAAGTGGTTCTACCTTATGTTTACGTGTCTGTATACTTTAAATTTGCATGATATTAAGTAATATATTTAATTAGTCATTAGATGTAGAACAATTGAAAGATCATCTTTCATCAACTTTTTGTCACATTGTTACGTTCAAACTTCCTCTAGTGAAGCAAGTCAAACTGTGAATACAATACAATTATTTCTGCATTACACTGACGCTATCTCAAACATGGCTAATAATTAATATTTCACAATTTAGACATCTTCCAGTCGAACGTACATTATTCAAGTAATGTACGTTACAAATTAAGATTGTCATGATACATTCCGTAAATTGTGACATCTTCACTCGTCTTTGGATGCTTAAATGTAATTTTTTTTATTTTTCTTCTCTCTCTCTCTCTCTCTCTCTCTATATATATATATATATATATATATATATATATCACTCGTTCTCTCTTTATGTGAGAGAGATTGCTCGACAATTAATCATTCCCCTTCCGACATCTAGCCTCTTTAATACCGCGTCCCATTATACCATTTGCCCTTTTACTTTAATTCACGATGACGAGGGTACTCCCCCTGTTAGTTTGTTATTTTTGGCTTTTTGTAATTTAGTCAGTCAGTATATAAACCTTGAAGTGAGAAAGACGGATATATATAATTGCGACAATAAAACAATACATATTCAGTAAAGTTGCATAAATGTCAAGTTTTTCTGTAGCTTTTTCCCCTCGAAAAACTTGAACATACATTGATCTATTGAGAGAAAAGTTAGCCTATTAGTACCGCGCAGTGTTTTTACCTGCTGCACGAATTACTATCGAGACGATAAATCCGAGAGAACAGCGGAAACTTGTATTTTCACGCGTTGGCATTAATTATTCCGCCACGCGTCGCGCATTTTAATCCCAGGCTGTACCGCCCTGGCAATTAGGGAAAAATTACTCGGGAACTGGTGTCCGCTGTAAATACCTGCTAGGACGAGGCGGGCAAGCGAGCGCGTGCGCGCGCGTCGCGTCGCTTTAATACGGCGGAAACACGCAGCGCGAAGTAACGGAAGTAAAACGCGCGCGGCATTAATTTATTGAGATGCGACGTGCTATTGATTCGTTATTGTCGCGACAGACAATATCGCGCGCACCAACATGTGATTGTGTGTTACGGTTGACGTTCGCGAGTTGACGGGATCGATTACGCTTTTAACGTGAGCGCGCATAAAAAGCGGATGGAAAAAGCGTAAGCAAGTGGTAACTTGAGCAGTAAGCGAATTAACTAGTCGCGTCCGAAAATGATCGAGAACGCAGGATTATCATGTTGAAACGCTCAATTGTTACTGATTGATTCACTCTTGCTGCTTATATTTTTTTTTTTTCCGCGTCTTTGTGCGTGTCACAGCACTGCGAAATAGACGTCGTTTCCATTTTAGAATCCCCCCTCCGCCGGGTATTCGTCGGACGACTCCGCGGAAAAATATGAGAATCACTTGCAGTTGTGGAGAAGCATGGAATTCCGTGTTCGCTACGACGGTATAAATAAGCGCGGACATTTCTCGTATAAACAGCGCGGAATAAAGCATTAAGTGATATATGCACGGTAATTTGATAAATAGCAATCGAGTTTCTTGTATGATCATTCATTCGCAAAGTTGATCTCGTGAAATAGGGTTAATCGGGTTAACCGTGAACGGGTAATGCTAATACGACATCGCGATATTTTTCATTAACATATATACTTAATAGACGATGACAGAGTCGTTAAGAGTGATAATTCGATGAATACTTAATTTAGCTCCCGAGTCGGTGCTCCATTCTGCATGGCTTTGCTTTTGACGTTTCGTGACCATTTCAGTAAATTTCTTCAGGAAGAGGGACCACCGGAAACTGTCGCTCCTTCGATGGAATTACTTTTTTACAGACGGACAATTAGTTGGGGAGGGAGGACAGAGATTGGATGGGAGTGAAGTAGGGTAGATAGTAGGACTTTCTACAAGTTTCTAGAACTTTGTAAGGTTTCATAGAACGTTGCATAGAGCCGGGAGGATGGACTGCCAAGTCGGACTGGTTTTTAGCCCAATGCCTCTGTTGAGATTATTGGGGTGTTTGTGTGAATCAACTCGCGATGAATATCGTCAGGAAGTTGGGCGAACTTGTCGCAATGCACGAGGTAAGTAGATCTTTCGTCAGTGTTTCCGAATCTTTTGCTAAAAAGGAGAAGAAAAGGAAGAAAAAGAGGAAGAAAGAAATATGTTGCTTCCTCGAAGCGATGATTCAATTAAGCGTTATCGAGATTTAAAAGATCCATAATCGAAGCGCATTAGTACGCTATCAATTGAAATCGACTGATAAATTAATCATGCGGCGGTCATATTTATGACTAAAACATGAGGATATATATCGAAACGAAACCGGGTGTAACTCCGGCTGAATTTATATCAAGCGGATAACGGCGCTTATAAGGCAATATAACATTCGCATTCGCGAACAATTATTGGGATCGGAGATTAAGCGACATTAACGGGGCGCGCGGAGCGGTCGCAAAGACGCGCATTGTTTTTGTATTTCTAATTACGTCAAACGATCCGGTAGCGTCATGTCTGAGACATTATCCGAAATAAAATGGGGACCGGGATTCTTTGGAAACTTTCATGGACGTAACGATATCAAGAGAAAGAGGAGGAGAGGGAGAGGAGGCAATCGTGATATATTAGCAGAGCGCGAGCGAGCTTGTTCAAGTTGCATTCTGCACGCGTTTTCTTTTCTTTTTTCCCCCATGGTATTCATGCGACGACACGAGGTGCATGTGAGATTCCACATTTACTGGCAATAGTGGAAAAAAATTGATGAGTAAATCTGCGTGTACATTCGGAGCTACCTTTTTTATCTTATCACGAAACTTTAATCTTGTACATACGATAATGGCATTATACCGCGATGATATGCAATTGCAACTTGCGAGCTTCTCTGAAAATTATGATTTCGCGGGAAGCAGTTTTATAACATCCGCCGAATTAACATACACTGGATGTGCAATAACAGCATTAACAACAACAATGGTGGACGGGCATAATATCTCGATACACGATATTTCCATGTAACGTTATGATGTAAATTTCACGGCTGGTGCGAGAGCCGAATATTCGTGCATAAGCGCGAACTATTTTGCGCGTCAACAATGTTTATAATATAATGTAATTTTGCACC